TGTACAGGCAGGAGAAGTATTATGGTGGAGGAGGTGAGTGAGGGAGTGGTGGGGAGCCTTACCTGTGTTGTGACGCCTTACCTCCTCACCCTGAGTGTTGGTCGCTGCTCAGGGAGTGTGTTTACGTGTGTCTTTGATGTGCGGCTTTGATCTCTCGTCGTTATTGATTTTGATGTTTGATATTCGCCTTTTAGGAAGAATGTTGAAAAATACTTTACAGTTTAGGCAGAAGTGAGAATTGTATACTGTCATGGTGATGTCATGAGGTGTTGTTATGGGTACAGTGGCGGGATTGTGGTGGGTAGGCGTTACAATGTCGTCAAAACCCTAAGTGGCTCATACATATCCAGACCACAGGGGGAGATAGAGCTGTCCTATCTGAACGTGTGTGTGATATATGATGCCATGATATACACTATGAGTTAAACCAGCTTAGTATGGGTCATATTTCAGGGCACAGCCTCAGTTTTAACATCAGTGGGTTTCAGAGGGATTTTTCAGTTTGTAACTTTTTTTTTTAACTAGCTATTGATTTCTATATCCGTGTGCTCTAAGTATCTTCACAAAATGGTCTTGGTAATAAGCAGTTGGATTATTCTTTAACGAGCAGGACAAGTGTTACACCTCGGCCACCGTACTGGATTATCTGATTGGGTAGTCCCAGTCCCGCCGTTTCTGGTAATTGCAAAACAAATTTGTGGTGGCCATTACTTCACCCTTGAAGGTGTTTGCAAGGTATTGGAATGACTTTGTCTGTGTTTCCGCACCATCGACAAAGATGTAATGGAGCACATCTCGGTCATATCTGCACCAAAACTGACCAAACGTCTTGGGTGAACCATTTAGCTATATTGGGTATACTGTAAGTACTGAACATTTTGGAAGGTCAAGGTTATCGAAAGTTAAAAAAAAATAAAAATTTTCGCGGGAACTCCGGAACGAATCATCGTAGGAGGGTGGGACTTGTTGCATTAGATTTCTTGACAAGGGAAATCAGTAATATTGTAGTCGTTTTTATCCCTGACGTAACATTTCTCAAGAAAATGAAGTCAAAGTGAAGAATTCTTCGGCTTCATTAACATTGGAGCGCCTTCTTAAAAAAAAATTCTATTAAAGGCGAAGGTCAAATGACTTCGAAAATTGCAAACTTATAAAATGACCATATCTCAGAAACTGCAGTATAAAAACTCGTTAAGTCTGGTTTTGTCAATTTATAGGGACATTCATCGGTTCGTAAAATATAAACAGGAGCAAACAATGAAGTAACCTCACGAACATGGTGTTTCCCGTTCCAGCGGCAGTAACATGGCTGGAGCAAGGTATGCCATCTTTGATTGCCTTGTTTACTTTGCGTTAAGTGTCACGCTTCACCATAATATGTTGGGGGGCAAGCCATAATTTGCTGTTATTAGGAGCAATATGTGTCCGACCGCCGTCGCCGGGATGAGGACGTAGTGGGCAGGAACTGAGAGTTGTGACCTGGGCCTGCTGCTGCTGTAGGTAGGAGCTTCTTCTGCTGTACATGATGCTTGGAGGCTTTTAATCTTTGTGGTGCTTGTGCTGTATGGAAGTGACTAGTTAAACGTGTATTCTCGACTACAGGAAGATCTTGTTATCCTTACTGGCGATAGTGGATCCCTGTCGATTCTTGAAGATGATACAGCCGCAGGGAGGCTTATCAGAATGTGTGTAACTACAGCCAAGGGAGAAGTTTGTTTATCATAGAAACAATTCGAGGAGGACTATTAGTGTGTGCTGTATTTCTTTAAATAAGACTTTTAATTCTGTTGAAGGTGCAGGTAGAGACAGCCAGGTTATATATTGTTACCTGTACTGTAGTGTATGAAAGCTACAAATATCCGCCAGTTTCTGCCCTGTAACAACTACTACTACTACACACACACACACACACACACACATTCAGCTCAAGGGTCGTGGAGATTGGAGAAATATATATAAAAGTAGACAAATATAAAAGTGTGCAGAATGGACAGAGTGGTAGAGGGTTGGGGTCTGGCGAGGTTTGGAGGGTTCGAGGAATAACAGTCTGGCTGACGTAAGCTGGTGTTGTGTGGTCACGTGTTATGGCTCATAGCTGTGTGGGTGTGGTCTCCAGGGGTGTGTTGTGGGAGTTATGTGGGTGCGGTCACCAGGGTGTGTTGTAGGAGGGTGTGGTCACCAGGGTGTGTTGTAGGAGCGTGTGCTCACCAGGGTGTGTTGTAGGAGCGTGTGCTCACCAGGGTGTAATGTAGGAGCGTGTGCTCAGGGTGTGTTGTAGGAGCGTGTGCTCACCAGGGTGTATTGTTGTATTTGTGTTGGTGGGTGTCATCATCAGGGTATGTTGTATGAGTTTGTGTGGATATTGGTGGGTGTGGTCACAAAGATGTGTAGTGGGAGGGTGTACAGTATTTACATATTCAGAGTACAGTGTGTTGTCGTGTGGGGGGAGGGAATCATTAACACTTCTGTCTGGGGATAATTTACGGCCTGAGATAATTAACATGAACCACACACATTACATTACTACAGTGTATGTATTCACCTGTAAGACGAACCTCTGTATAAAACTGTAGCTACTGCATTCCCTCAGTGAATGATACTTTCCTGGTCTTTTGTTGTATATTAATTACAAACGATGTGTAAACAAGAGACGGACGGTCGTAAACACACAGGTAACAAGAGAATAGTGAGGACTTGTTGGTGTTGTGTCATGACAAATGGAGGTGAGAGGCTCCTTGTTAGGGTGAGATGAGTGAGGCTTGCCTAATGGTGCTCGTGTTGAGTGTAGTGTGTCTGGCTCATCAGCATATACTGACACCGTCGTAGCTCTGGATATTCTGGCGCCTCGGTATATTCCAGCTTCTGAGATACACTGTGGCTCTGGTGTATTGTATGGTTTCGTGGTATACCCTGGCTCTTCAACATGCTGTGGCAGCGGCTCTTCTCTTTATTCCGTGTTTTAGCATATTTCAGCCTACACTTTTCCAGCCAGAATTAACAAATAATGCTGAGGTCAGAGTTCACAAGCATCAAACGTAAACCACAAAAGATTAAACCGGAGTATAGATATCTTTCATGTGATGTCACAGTTTGTTTACACCGCCATGTTGCCGGTGTTGGTCGTCACAACACAGCTGGGGTGAAGGACACACTCGTCATTCATTGGCCTGCCCTGGATTGATCCTTAAAAGTTGCACCTTTAACCCCGGGTTTAGGAAGATCATCGTAAAGTTCTGATGTTTATGGCGGCTTAAGAGCAGGACTATGTATGTTGATAAACTTGACGGTTTTAGTAAGAGTTTTCCCTCTGCGAGTCTACGGTAAATGGCGTGTTTAGGCAGGGCTGGTGGAGTGCGTGTCACCATCTGCTGTATATTGGGTTTTACTGATAGTGGTCGTGATCCACTAACAAAAATGACGTGCTGTTTTTACATTAAACAATATGAACATTAGTTTCCTCAGTAAATGATTTAGCTGCTATGGGAATGTTTGCGTAGCCTGGACACGTAATAGCACACCGGGTGTCCGTGTTTAAACGCAACAAGTCATAGCTTCAATGGTGGGTCACTCAGGTGTTGAGTAACTCACCTGTATATAACACATATTATTAAATAATGTAATATTTCCAGAATTAACTTGGCAAACACTGCAATGCTTCCAGCTATGAATACATACTTCACGAGGTAAACACTCCTCACACAGGGTTCCCACACTACCGGATTAGATGAAAAAATTCGGGAATTTTGGTTTTGTTCTTCTGGGTGAGGAATACACTTGGAATTTGAAAGAACTGAAAGGAGTCTGAAAAAAAACCGTTGCAGCGAGTGTTTGCTCGGAACTCTTTATTTTGTAGAGCGTTAATGTTGTATACGAGTACTTAGGCCTCAGTCTGTCCACCCCACGAGCTTATGGCACCAGTAACTACGCACACCACGCACTAATGGCATCCCTAACTACCCCCACCACGCAGTAATGGCATCCCTAACTACCCCCACCACGCAGTAATGGCACCCCTAACTACCCACACCACTCAGTAATGGCACCCGTAACTACCCACACCATGCAGTAATGGCACCTCTAACTTCCCACACCACCCACTAATGGCACCTCTACCCACACCACCCACTAATGGCACCCCACACCACCCACACCACCCACTAATGGCACCCCACACCACCCACACCACCCACTAATGGCACCTCTAACTACCCACACCACCCACTAATGGCACCTCTACTCACACCACCCACTAATGGCACCTCTAACTACCCACACCACCCACTAATGGCACCCCACACCACCCACTAATGGCATCCCTAACTACCCACACCACTCACTGATGTATGAGTTATGACCAGTTTACCATTATTTTCTACACTTGGGGAATTGCCTCGTGAATTAAAGCCTCGTGTGTCCTAGTAATAATAAGTGAAGAACTCTTAGTGACGTCATTGTTGGTCATGGCAGGATATAGTCTGGTGGTTTACAGTGTTTTGGCAGCATTTTTCTCCCTGTTTGTCAATGGTTGATCTAGTGCTTATGTGATTATGCAGAGTCGTTTATTTATCCATTGAGGAAAATTAGAATCAACGATCTTAACGCCATCACTACTCGTGTATATACTCTTGAGAGTAAAAGCAAGATGATTAACACACACACACACACACACACACACACACACACACACACACAGTATATAAATTCATCTACGTATTTATTGACAACTTTTACATTTGCTGCTTAGCGTGAAATTTTATCATCATCACCACACACGGAGTACAGTATTGATGTGTAAGATTAATGTTCTTGTTCATTATTTGTGTTAGGAAATATTCAGTAAACAATGTGACTAACACCAGTACTGACGAGACACTGGCAGGGCCAATATGTACCAGACTCTCCTTAAAAAACTGCATGTGTTTTGTGATTGTGTTTGAAGTACAGTGACGATGGCGACGTGTATCATTCCTACCCTGACTTGTTTTGTGTTGTCTTTTCAGGCGCAGAGCGACGAGGATGACGTGGGGCCAGATGACGTTGCCGTCAACGTTGACGGCAACGTTGGCTACATGGACGACTTCTTCAATGAGGTGAGTACAAGACCGGGAAGAGAGACTACTGCTACTACCATTAATAATAATGCTAATAGTAATAATGATATTAATTATGGTAATAATAATAATGGTAATAATAACAATGATAATATTTATGATAATAGGACACCCCCCCAAAAAAAAAAAAAAAATAACGTACTTGGTGGTGCAGTATTATAATGAGTTTACAGTCATAGTAGTGTCATGGGCCTGGCTCTGTTACGGAAGTTCGTGGCTAATTGAAAGAGTGAACTGAATATTTTATTCTGTAAGAGACATGCATCACCGGGTGTACGGACGTCTGTGGGAGTGGCGGAGGGTGTGTATGTTAGTGTGTGGGTGTATTAGAGGGGTGTGGTGGAGGGTGTGTGTTGCTGGTGTAAGATCCATCAGTCAGCGCCTGAGGGAAAGTGTATAGTCCAGCGATAATGGTGGCGCCGAAAAACAGCGAGGGGTGTCGGCGGCCGCGGGATGCTTGTGTGGTGCTTGATACTGACCAAGATTTATGACTGGCCAGGCCAAGTGGTGGGCCGAGGAAGGAGAAGAAGATGAGGTGAGGGTGTGAGAGAGGGAAATGAATAGAGGAGGAGGAAGATAAGAAGGTGAAGTGTTAGTATAATGAAATGAGTAAGAGGGGATGAGGGCGGGGATAAAGGAGGTGAGAGAGACACTACAGTAGTAGAGAGAGATAAACGAGTACAGTAGTAAGGAGAGAGACTAGTAAACGAGGAGTAGTAAGAGAGTAACTGGGGGGTATTACTTAACTTGAGGTGCGTGAGGCAGGTGAGGGAAGGCCAGAACAAATATCACACTTGGGACTTTGTGTGTGCACTCTAGTAAGGAGGGGAGGGTCATGTGTGTACAGGGGCCTTCTTTGTATGTGGATTTGTGTACACGGGGCCTATTTTGTAAAGGGATATATTATACATGTACAGGGACCCTTCGTATACAGTATACAGTCTCGTGGTGGGGCTTGGGTTTCGTCTGTATCGTGTTGCTTGTGTTAAGGTCCTTGGTTTTTGTCAGTTCTCTTAGTATATACCGTAAGTATATGTTGTATATATGTATAAAGAAAGGTTGTTTCGAATAGAGGGAGGATGTAGTGTGTGAATTGGTTCTCAGTTGTATGAAGAATCGTGTGTACAGTAATGGGGATCGTATTTATAGGGTTAGATACCATAGTAAAGTGTTGGGTGTAGTATTTTTGCAGCTTCAGTTAGTAATTATTTCTCCCTTACTCTTTGTTTTGATAATTAATTCCTATATATTCACATAGTTACCGTATTTTGCAAACATTTATAGATATACGAGTGTTTGGGGGTTTGTGTGGTGAGATGGCTTTGTGAATCTGTCTTTTTATGTCTTAACACTAAATAAATGGTATCCGATCCTTATCTATAATTTTCATTTACCGATGAACTTGGTAGTGTGTGAACTGACTTTATTGTTATTATTATTCCCTCCCCCTCCTGACCCTGTAGGTGGGGGAGGGGGGGGTATTGTTATGATACTTCTGGCGGGTTGTAGCACATTATTTATATACGAGTTCGTTGTTTATACAGTTGATGAACCCAGTCGATTTTTGTCTCGCTAAAGGGTGGGTAGATCAGGCATTCTAAGGTAAGGTAAGGGGGATGAGCCGCTTTTAAGTGGGTGGTAAGGGGGTGAGCCACTTTAATTGGGTGGTAAGGGGGATGAGCCGCTCTAAGGGGGAATCTAACGTTCTGTGCTATTATTTTATTTATTTTTAATCTGGTCAACGTTGATCACACTCACTATAGGAAGATAATACTCGGGGGTGCAGAGATGACAATTGGCTGAGTGAAAATGAGCTTTACAGTAACCTTGGCTGTACTTCCCGTGCTGTACCGTGGTGTTGACAGCACCAAAATTTCGAGTCACTTGACATCGTATCCGAACCACTTGAAAATTTATTCCGAGGCTTCTGTTGTCCGCTTCGATATGGAGTTGGCTTCGACCCGCGTGTGTGTGTATGTGTGTGTGTGTGTGGCAGTAATGTAACTGGGAAATGTGATGTTTGAGATGTCTGATGCTGTCCTAAATGACTTTGATTGTGGTGGAGTAGGGAGGGTTGTTAGGATGGTTAGTATGGAGGGTTGTAATGGTAAAAGTAATAGCGATGAGGGTTAAATTATTGTGGAATTGTTGTAGTTGTGGTTGTTATTGTAATTTCATATTTCTTGACTGAATGAACGGGTGACTCAGACTAACAAACTTTCACCCATCGATCAGAAAATTCCTCTTTCTTTTCATTCTTTTACAGGTTAAATGATTTTCAAATGTAATTACAACATTAATCGGAATTTGACTCCCCGTATCACTCACTGTGACAGTAATAGCTGTGGTGGTAGTGGTGTTAGATAGGGGTAGTGGTGTTAGATAGGGGTAGTGGTGTTAGATGTGGTAGTAAATGGTGTTTGATGTGGTGGTGGTGGTGTTAGATGTGGTGGTGTTGGTGTTAGATGTGGGGGTTGTATTGGTGGTAGTAGTGGTGTTAGATGTGGTGGTATTGGTGTTAGATGTAGTGGTGGTAGTGATGTTAGATTTGGTGGTGGTGTTAGATGTGGTGAAATTGATGGAGTGTAGTTGTGGTGATGGTGTTGGTTGTGGTGGTGATAGTAGAAGTAGTGGAATGTTGATGGTGGTAGTTGTGATGGCTGACGTTGTGGTGATAGTGTATAGTTTGTGGTGATAATTGTTAATAGGGGTGTGTGTGCGCGTGCGTGTGTGCGCGTGTGTGTGTGCGCGTGCGCGCGCGCGCCGGTGGGTCTTGGTTGGCAGTATTTGCTACCGCCGTCGCTGTGGCCGCAAAACACACACACACACACACACACACATGAGAGAGAGAGAGAATTGGTTATAGAGTAGGGGGAGATATATATTTGAGCAACACGCCTTTCGCCGGAACGTGACACGCCCGTCCATGCTCGCCAGACTGCCTGTCTACCGCACTCGCGCCAGTGGCACTCCTGACAATGAGAAAACACCGACGGGGGCAACAGGGAGTAGTTGAATGGTAAATGGAATATGGAGTGGTAGTGGTAACATGGGGTGGTAGTGATAGTAACAGGGTGTGGTAGTTGTAACAAGGGGGTGGTAGTAGTGGTAGAAAGTTGTAGTTATCGGCAGTCGAGGGAATGAGTTAAAGAAAAAATACTTTGTAATTGACGTCATGAGGTCTGTGTTAATGAAAGTTTGGGAGTGAAAAAGTCATGAAGTTCACAACCACTTCATGAACTTTAGAAATTGTTAATAAATCGTAATTGCAATTTTATAACATTGTTCATTAGAGAAGTTTTGCAGTAATACCACACTTACACGTATAATGTTCAGCTTCTGTAGATGGAGCTTATGAACGATGAACACAGTCAAGTTTAGGTTGTCTTTTAGTAATAATATACAAGTACTTTTTAATTCCTTTATAACTTTATATAATTTAAAGTTCTTGAGAATTTTTATTTTTAAGTACCGTATACTGAATCACATGTACTTTATTGTGATGCAAATTTGTATTGGAAATATATTTTTCAGGCCTTGTGGGAATAATTTTTTATTTCTCAACTGATCTTATGCTAAAATAATGTGACATAAAGCAATGTCTGAAGATTTTACCCTCTATGAGTACCTGCAGTGTGAGGGTGGCGGTGACCCCTGAGGCTACGAGTAATTGTGGTGACCACTGAGGGGGGGGGGGAGAGCCAGTGTACAGGGGAAGTAGATGTAATGGGAGAAGTGACTGAATGATGGAGTAAGGTAGAAGGTTGAGGTAGGACTTAAGAGAATTGAAAGGTAGAGTTGATGAAGCAGGAAGAGAGAGAAAGAGAGTATGGACTAAGGTAAAGAGAGAGAGGCAGACAGACAGGCAGGCAGACAGACAGACAGACAGACAGGCAGGCAGGCAGGCAGGCAGGCAGGCAGGCAGGCAGGCAGGCAGGCAGGCAGGCAGGCAGGCAGGCAGGCAGGCAGGCATTCCCCGCGACCGGCCTCACTTACCGTCCCCGCCCAGGCTGTGTACTGTCTAGACACAGTGTGGCCGCCGCCCGCTCGCTGCCTCTCGCGGAACTTTAACCTAACCCAGACCTGCTAGTTTGAATGGAAAGAACCCGGGGTGGGGCGGCGGGGGTTAGGTGGCGGCATTGGTTTTTACAGGTAGTGTAGCTAAGCCAGGCCAGCAGGGGTCGTCAGGGGGGCTCACATTTTTTTGAAGGGAACAGTTGGTGGAAGTTGTAAACACCGGGACACACATGTTGGTGTCTGCCGGAGTGTTGTTGACTGCTGTGTGTGTGTGTCTCTCTTGAGATGGTTGGTGGGGGAGGGGCAACACTGGTCTGGTTAATGGACGGTAGTTTTGTGGTTGGAGTAACGACAAGGTTTTCAGGGGATGATAGGGGTTTGGTGTGGTGGGGGGGGGTATTTAGGGAGAGTCTTGGCTAACCGGAAAGGGTGGTGTGATGGTAGTGCTGGGTGGTAGGGAGTCTGGTGGTGTCATGGCCGGGGTTGGTGGTATAGTTTGTGGCGTACTTAATTAATAATACGATGAATTGTGGTAGAGGGTGTTGTTGTGGTAAGGCTGTAGGGTAGTGTGAGGGCTGGGGATTGAGTGATTAAAGCTGTCGACATTATTATTATTACAGGATAACAAAAGTACCATAAGCTCTTGTGTCTGCAGAACTGACTCATTACTTTGAAAATAATCCGATCCTACCTAGGTTTTACTAAAGATTCCCAACTCTAGTGTAGGAGCTTACTTCCTTCTTAATGTCAAGGTGTAAGATGATAGGTAAGAAACTACAGGACTTAGTGTGTCCCTTTTAATTCCCCGCCCTTCATCACCCCAGGGAGACGGCGAGTAATATCCTTGTAACCCGTGTGTACTCCCCTTCCTCCTGTGTGTTCCTTGTATAAGTACCGTCCGTGGGTCCTTTCTCTTAAACACTCCTGCCTGAACGTCCACACCCAACATCCTGCCGGCACAG